CGTCTCGAGGCTGGCTCGAAAGAGAAAGGCGCCCAAGCGAGGCGGAGGGTGGTAACGAGTGGAAGTGGGAAAGCAAAGGCTGCAGTTAGGTCGGGCATGTCCCCCCTACGAGGGGATATTGGACGAAAAATCAAACATACATAGTGCACACAACTAGTCAAGAAGTATTCCACAAATCGTCCCCATACTATGTTTTACTATTTTTGAATAGTCCCCCTGTAGAGGGACAGGCCCGACTGAAAGCTGTATGGGAGGCCGATGGTGCAATTGACCTCTCTCGCTTACCAAAACACCGTAGTGAAGCTCGAGGTGACTCTCGTCCCTAGCCGATTAATTCGCGCATTCCGTGTGCGAGGCCACTTTGAGACTCCCTGAATGCTCACATGTACTTTGTGCACATGCCACAGACCAAGACGATCTTGCTATCCACCACCGTGCATCTGGGAATGGAGTGGGCGTGTCCTCAGGTCCTTTGCCTCATCCCCTAAGCCTCAGTCCTCAACCCGGAGGAGTTTCTCAAAAGGGTCCTGACCCCAGATTGCCAACTCTCCCTGGGCTTGCCGCGGCTCCCCCGCATCTTCCCGCATGCTTGTTTGTTCGGGCCCAAGAGGGCCCAAAAACGGACCAGAAGGGCCCAATTCTACTCCCAAGAGTGCTTCGAGACGCCCGGAGATCGCTCCAAGACGCCCAAGACGGACCCAAGACGGTCCAAGATCAAAACGGACGCCCCAAGAGGTCTCCAAACGGACTCCCGAGAAGGCCCCGAAAGGCCAACATCATGGCTGGTTGAATGTGTTTGGTCTCTTCGCCTTGTCGGCTTTCCGACGTTCCGAGACAGCCCCAAAGGAACCCCAGATCGCCCCAAAACTGCCCCAAAAACCGCCAGGAGGGCCCAAAAGGGACCCACGACGGCCCAAGAGGCGCCCAAGACGGCCCAAGAGGGCCCCAAGACGGTCCCAAGAGTGGTCCGAGAGTAAGACCACGAAGCGAAAATTCTAGCTCTGCGCTCCGAGAGGGCCCCAGGAGGCCCCCCGAGGGGCCCCCACGGAGGCCCCAGGGAGGCCCCAATAGGCTCCCAAGAGAAACCCGACGAGGCCCCGAAGACGCCCCAAGAGGCCCCCAAGGGGCCCAGAAGAGGCCTCCAGGCAGTCCCACAGAGGCCCCCCACGAGGGCTGCCGCGACCTCCCAACGAGCACCCTAGAGGCCCATTCGACAATATACCTACGAGTGCCGCTGTCGCCGATCTCTGAGCTTCCCCGAGGTGCCCCCCACGGCTTCCGTGGCCTCCAAGGCCATCGGGAGAGAACCTGCCGACGACACAGTTTTCACTAGAACCACGCGCGCTTCGCGGGCTCCCTCGCATCAGTCGAGTAGCGCAGGCAGGGGGACCTCTGCTACAATTATTTGGGCCACACCTGCGCAAAATTGGAAAAACAAACACAAGTGAACACCTCTCTCGAAAAAGATTCGGATCAAGCCGTTGTAAGCGTCAGATGAGGATCTGCGGTCAGGAAGCACGCCCCAAGGACGCCCAGTCGGGAAAAGAGTATTCAACGGCGCAAATCTCAACACCTTCAGAGTTGGCCAGCCAAACTGCCTAAGGATGAACCGAACCAGCAATGCTGCAAGGGCATCGCATCCTTGGGAACTTTCGTCATCCTTGCCATGCGCGTTGGCAGTGCTGGTGCCGCTCAAGGGAACACATATTGACCGTGGCTGGCGCATGCAACAATTTGCGTAACCCGAACTACTCCAAACGCCCCCAACTGCAACCAAGACGCAGCCACCTTCGCCGGGTGAGAAAAGTGGTGTTTGACGTAGCCGCACGGATCGTCTCGAGTCCGAGGCACCTCCCTCGTACTGCTTCTACTCTTGCATCGGCTGCCACACCTTGCTCGATTTTCACTATGCCGTCTCCCGCCTTGTCTCCCTCAACCTCCCCCTCCCCCATCATCGCGCGTCCTCTCTATCGTTCCAGGCTGAACAACACATCTGCCAGATGTCTGGGATGGTCGCATGGACTGGAGCCGAGCGGAACACTTCTTTGCGCAATGGACGGCCCCACTTTTGGTCCTGCCTGGCTGTTGCTTCACATCGCGAGCCAGCGCCGGCATCACAATAGATTGCTTCGTAACCGGACCCTTTTGATTGTACCCGACCCTGCCCGTCCACCACTCTCAAAATTAGACTCTCACATTGGTTGCGAGAGCCAGGGCCAATGACGTGGCAGCGGGCAACGATTGCTTGTGCGAGCCAGACGGGATACTCGAGCAAATGGAATGTGGTGTCGTGCTGGAGCGAATCGAATGTCAAACAACTGCACCCGTGATGCGCCATGGTTGTACGAGTGCCAACTGAAACGCCGAATGTCCGAAAGCAATGTTTACAATCGCATCTGGGCGAGCAGGTAAGCACATGTTACTCCCGGCGCTGTAGCGCACACGAAGGAACCAAAAAGAAGGCGGGGCAGACCGCACCGCTGGGGACGTCCCCGCGACCGCCCTGGCGCTCCGCGTTCGGGGGCAGATTCCTGCGCACCCCTACTTGGCGTCAGGCCCCGCCTGCCACGCCCTGCGACCCTGGCGTGGATACAGACTGCGCTCAGGCACCACCCCCTGCGCACCCTGCCCCCCGCGCGCGCACGCCTCGCGCGTGAGGCGCACGTGGCGGCGATGGGCCCATCTGGCACCAACGACTACCGAACGCGGGAGCTGGACGCCACCGCAAGCACGTGCGCGCGTGCGCGCAGTCGCCCGCGTACGAACGTACACTGTCCCAATAAGACGAGAACTGCTTACTCGTCGACCGAAGTAGCCGTTACATCCGCACGCATGCAGTTCACATGCATCTGCCACTAAATGCGCGTGCGCGCCTGTATACAAATGCATACATCTTATATATGTATATAACATGTATGCGAACATACATACATACACACACATACATACATACATACATACATACATACATACATACATACATACATACATACATACATGCATGCATGCATACATACATACATACATACATACATACATACATACATACATATATACATACATCCATACATACATACATACATACATATATATATACATATCTATATACATATATACATACATACATACATACGTACAATCATACATACATACATACATACATACATATATATATACATATACATACATACACACATACATACATACATACATACATACATTCATACATACGTACATACATACATACATGCATACATACATACACACCTAGCTATATACACATATACATACATACATACATACATACATACATACATGCATGCATGCATGCATGCATGCATGCATGCATGCATGCATACACATATATGCATATGCATACACACATACACACATACATACATACATACATACATACATACATACATACAAACAAACATGCATCCATGCATACATACATACATCCATCCATACATGCATGCCTACACACATACATACATACATACATACATACATACATACATACATGCATGCATGCATGCATACATACATACATACAGACAGACAGACAGACAGACAGACAGACAGACAGACAGACAGACAGACAGACAGACATACACACGTATGTGTGTTATATAATGATCAGACGCAGTTTTCGGTGAACGTGGGATATTTTCCAAGTTGGGCAATTCCAGCCATACATGTCCGGCGGCGAATTACACACAGTCGGAATCCTGGTGGGGGGGCATCATTTCTTGAAGAGGTGAATTATCACTACTGCAATGTACCCTCGATCATCGTAACGCAACCGGACACGTTCCAACGCATACCTCCGGGTACACTCCCTGTACCAGCGCAAGAAAAGCTCCGTGGCAGAGAGAGATACGAGGAGACGACATACGGAGAGGCGCGATACCCGGTGCCCAAACGCGGAGAAACGGATCGAACAACAACGGGATGCTGGCACCACTGCAGCAGTTGTGCCGTGACGATTCGCCTCGATAGATCGGCCTTGAACGGCTGGCGCCTTCGGAGAGCACAGATCGTTCTGGGCCGATTCTGGAGGAGGAGGAGGAGCATCGGGGGGAACGAAAGGGGGGGATAGCAAAGGGTAGGGTAGAGAATCAGCTCACGTAGCTGATCCTGATTTTCCCAGCGCCTCCCGGCGCCTGGAGGCGCCCATGTATCGAGGAATGGGCCCGGCGGCGGGGCCGAAACCAGCTGCGTGCAGCAAACTTCGTAAGCCCACCTTTCCCTATCACCCTTTTTAGATCGGCCCGACCAAACCGGCTTCAATCAAACACCTCGGACGGGCCGTACAGTGCAACGACCTTCCAGAGGTCCGCGCGGAGCGCGCCAGGGACGGCGCCAGAGAGGCGCTGCCGCTTGGGGGCCCCGCGCGGATTCCAAGGAACTCCGCGCGGACCTCCCACAGTTTTTCTTCTCATGCCAATTTCTTATGTCTCTTATTATTCTTCTTCTTCTTCTTCCACTTATTTTTCTTCTTATTCTTCTTCTTCTTCTGAGAGAGAGAGAGAGAGAGAGAGAGATAGGCGCGCGGGCGCGCTAGGCCTGCGGGCGGCTATCGGGGAAGCAACCTTCGGGTGCGCGCCGAAGGGGGGGGGGGCCAGGGGGGGGGGCGCGCGTCGCGGTCCGAGGGGCACGCGCGCAGACGACGGGGGCCAGGGGGGCGTGTTGATGAAGGGGCCCCAGGACACACAAATAAATACACACAAATAAAAATATTCCCCATATTTTCCTATATTTTCTGGGTTTCTGTCTTCCCCCCACTTCCCATTATTTTCCTTGATTTTCTTGGGAATCGACTATTAATTGTGTCTGTGTGTTTCTTTCCCTCCTGAGTTGAGAGAAGAGGCCGTGAACTCTGGGAGGCTTCGTTGCCCAGGCCATGCTATCCATGATGGGCCTGTTTTCCACCACCGCCACCGTAAGCTGGAGGGGGGAAGGAGGAGAATGAGGAGGAGGAGGAGGAGGTGGAGGAG